CAGTAATACATAGGCTTTCAGATAGCTTATTCTATTTAATAGCCTGTACTAGAAAGTATTAATGGATAATATAGGCCCTTCATTAGCCCAGGCTGGATAATAGCCTAGGTATAGAATGCTCCCAGTAATACTTAGGCGTCCAGATAGCTTATTTCATCAATCCATCACCCATATTACGATCACTGCCACGTATTCTTGCTCGACTAAGACGGTTGGCCCTGCTTTTGATAGAATGTATATGTTTGTCGCTTCAGCACTGACGGGTGGTCTCCCAGAGAGACGCGACACAGGTACTTAGAATTACCTACGTCACTATTCATCATCGCGCCAAGAGAAGTACCCACGGGTATACCCCCGTGGGTATACCCGTGGGTACTTCTCTTGGCATTATTGCCGTTTAAACAAAATAACGCAACCTATTACCTTATAATGACGTATCCCTCCAAGGCAATCTGTTCCCCCAGGCCCCCAAGGCTACCTTTCCATGAATCTCCAGTCGTGGCAGTCTTGGCGGCGAGAAGACCAGGATTTATCTAAGAGCCACAATTTACTTCGTTGTTCCGATAACATAGCCAAAAAGCCGTAAGCGCTTTGAATCATCAGATTCGGACTGAATCTAGACCGCTGGTATTGGAGAAAGTAAGGCGTCCCTTTTCGTCTCCGATCCTTACTTCGCCCGTCTCCAGCACCACCACGCATCAATATGCGGCTCGTCGCTGACAACCGCCAACAACCGACTCAGCGAGATAGCAGCCGGCTCTGTAGGGAAATAATCACTTCTCATGGGCTCTTTGGGCTCTGCCGGCCCTCCCTCACAGTAATAGCAGTCAACTCGAGATCTTCCGTCTTCATGCCTTAGCTGATGCTCGATACTACGAGAACTGATTTCACTGGTCCACTCCTTGTGGTCCGCCTTGAACCTCTCGTAACACTGTATATCAAACGTGCGTCCGCCATGTTCCAACCAGTCTGTGATAGCCTGGGTGGAGGATTCGATGGAGATAGGGCCACCCAGAGGCGCGGATACCCAGCCGTCTAGTTTCAGATGCCCGTTTACGACGAGCTCAGCGAGATTGGGGATGAGGCGCTCGATACAGGTAATGTGGTAGTACTGGATGGGTTCTGGGGACGAATCGTCAGTCAGCCAGTCAGCCACACAGTTGTTTAAGAATAAGAACCGTTCTAGAGCATAGGGGATAAGAAAAGGCGATACACAATACCCCCATAATACATATTTCGGCCACCCTTCAGCGCAAAGCGATAATGGGAACGGATAATCGGTGAGCGAGCGAGTCTCGTAATCGCGCAGTCCCACGCTCTGCAGTGGCTGGCCTTGACCCGCGGCACCTCTTGCAGGTAGAGTGTTCGCTCTCCGGATTGCAGATCCTCTAATATGTAGCCTGCCTCTTCTCTCCTCCGTCTCGCTTGTCTCTTCCTCTCCCGTCGTCTTTCCCTGTCCGCAACTGCGGGGTTGGCTGGTGTAGCTTCTGGCCGTGCCTCGGGGTCTGAAGTTTCGTCGCGGCCCCCGCTGGTGGCGGTGTCTGTTGGCTCTGTGCTTGGAGTCATGGTCGGAACAAGGCTGAAACGATTAAGAAAATAAATCAGATTCCCGATATAAGATTATTTATGGGTGCGCCGGCACAGTATCAACTTTCAGGGGATTTCCACCTCAGGGACGCTTCCCCCCAGGGCCTTCTTTCGGGGCTTAGTCATCGGCCCGTTAGGAAGATATACACAGGCCACGTGACTGTGCGTATATCTTATCACGTACGTATTGACCTCCTTATCGTTTCCGAGCCCGAGCTGGTTTGTGTATGTCGCCAGCCATGAGTGGCTGGGTGGACGACCGACCAGGTCTTCGGCCTAGCATGGACGCCAGTTAGCGGTCCTACGCCTGTGCTGGTCGTGCGACCAGTGTCCTGAGACCATACAGATCGGGCGCATGGGAACAGAGGGCTGGTGTCCTGGACCTGGGTGCTGACGAACTGGGTCGTTCGGCGCGATGCGTAGGTCCTGTGACTTAGTACCAGGTACGCCAGACCCTGTGCGCCCGACCCACATATTCTTAGGACGCTGGTCGCGCGACCGGCACAGGCGTAGGATCGCTAACTGGCGTCCACGCTAGGCCGACGACCTCGTCAGTCGTCCATCCAAATTCGTACGACCTAATCGGCCCGAAGAACATGCGCTCTGAGACCACTCTGATGATACATGGTGCGCGTTGGCCATGTTCCGCTTATGGAGTAGATGATGATAATCAATATTGTTCTGAGAGCACAGATAGTGGTACCGGACGTGGTAAGATATTCTAAGGGCGCGCCAAAGGTGCATTTTCTATAACATACTCGGGTCTGTTGAACACGGCCCATCACAGGGAAGTATCTTGCTGTAGAAGAGCATATATACACTCAGTAGGGACTATCAGGATAGTCTATCGTACGCTTAGGCGATTCTTTTCTTAGACGTGTCCCCGCCAATGGATGTTGTGAATACCGGTTCATTGCAGTATTCGCAGTATCGATCATCCTAAATTTCAACCCGGAAGTGTCATGTCGTGGGAGTATTGCTTGAACATTGGAAACATGTGCGAGGCTAATCTGCAGTTTCAATATCTTCTGCGGCTGCCAGCAAAGTGGCTTTGTACGGTGAGGGCGACGTAGAAAGGAGATGGGGAGGCGCCTATACCACCATTCCCTTCCTGGGAGTCTTCAATTCAGCTCGTCCTGTCCACGGAAATTGTTCGCTTTGGTCGTTCTCCCCGACGCGGGCTGCCTTCCAGGACACTATAATACATCTGTGCAGCCTCGAGTGACCTCATTCTATCGCTTCCACTCGTCTTCTACCGATAAAGAGGTGAGCCACGTCATCACTTTGCCTATGAGGTAGGTTTGCTGTGGAAGGTGCTCTGTGGCCTGGATTTATCCCCCATCCCCTCCCGCACACGCTGCAGGGGGGCATGCAGCGGTCGATTCGGCGTATTTGTGACCTGTGTCTTCAAATTGCTAAGTCGATCCAATCTTTCGACTAGAACCGATATCAGGGTCCGTGTCAGAGTTATTGGCAGAGTTACTGTTACTCCAATCATCATCACTGGAGCTGGTGTCCGAATTGTCGGTTTGTTTCGCGACTCCTGCTAAAGCAGTAGGACTTCGACTGGGAACACCGTTGCTCAGGGTATCGGGCACGGCTGGCGTTACTTTACACCACCGCCTTTAGAGCTGCAGCCTGAGTCCATGTTCATGCGGCTTGGAGAAGGAGATCCTTTCTCACTCCCGTGAGACTTCCTCTCCGTAGACCGCTGCCTAGAGCAGTTCCGACATGTTCGACCCTTGTCTCCACCCACTTGCCGTAGAGGCAAGTCGGAGTTGTGACATCCGTGATGTCTATCGGGAAATCCACACCGACGGCGTTGTCCGAGTCTAGGCGGAAAGACACACTGCTATCGGTTCCGTCGTTGTCGCTGCTATGGCCAATGTTGTAATGTGGTGGACAGCGGGCCATGGCTCAAGGGATGGAGTCAAGCGACCGGTCTACTGGAAAGAGAGACCAGGAGAGGGTAGGGTCGTGAGGTGACTGGCGACGACGGCAGGCAGAGGTTATGGGAAGAAGAAATGGCTGAGGAGCATCAATGGACAGAAGAGAAGGAGACAGGATTGTCATTTTTATAAGATGACCACTGCGGGGGGCCCTTCACTCTTGGGGGGCAGCCATTTTCGGCTGGTCACAAAAGGTGAGTCGGGATGCAAGTTTTAATAGCGCAAGAGCCTGAAAAGGATCCCACAATCGGATCGATAGACTGAACAATAAGTATGGCTATTCAAAGCTGATGGGTGTTCAGAAGTGATGGGTGTGCAAAGGTGATGGGTTTTCAAAAGCAGTGGGGCTTCGAAGACGATAGGGAAACGGTGGGTCCTAAATAATGGGGCGCCAACGATGGTGTTTACAACTTGCACTCTTGTTCCAAAGTGTTGGACACGTAAGTTGCGGCACTCGCCGACGGCCGTATTTGCAAGGGGCAATACGCCAGGTAAACCATGCATGTTGTGGCTACTTGAGGCCAGGGTTCCGCACAGCCACCAATTGTGATTGGCTGGAACGGCAAAAAATAAGACCGGGACCGACCAAGGCCAAGCTGATGTGTTACGGCGACCTCTCCGCATGCCCGCCTAGTTGAGCGTCAACCGAATGAACACTTTTTGATAAACCCCATCAAGCAAATGGAAAACAGCAGCCCACCCGACTACCAAGCGCTCTATTTGAGGGCAGAGGAAGAGAAGAAATTGGCAGAGGAGGAACGCCAGCGGGAAGCAGAGCTTAGGAAACAAGCAGAGGAGGAACGCCAGCAGGAATCAGAGCTTAGGAAACAAGCAGAGCAGGAAAGGGACCAGGAAAGAGAGCAAACACGACGAACCACCCTTGCAGAGCTACTACGACACTGCCACAACTATACTTCTCTATGCCTGAGAGTCGAAAGTCCGTCCCGTTCTACGACGGGAACGGTTCCAGCGCCTAAGGGGAAGCGCTGTCCGCTGCGACTTCTGCCTTGGACCGAGTGCACAGCCATACAGCAAGGGATCTATCACTCTGTTTGTACTTATTTAGCACCGCCTGGACAACCTGCTGCACAAGTGTTTCCGTCGCGTACTGTCCTAAAGGGGTTTGGGGAAGAGTTCAAGAAGAGAGCTATAAGCAGTGAGCAGGATCTGCAAAGCTATGAGAGATTCGGGGTGGAGAACCATGTCCGTGATATTATCGCGGAACTCTGCAGGATACGTGCTGCTCGAGAGGAATTTCAGTTAGGCAATGGAATTCAGTTCGATAACCACGCAAATGCCCTCGATGCGGTTGACGCCGACCAGTCTAAAACAGATAAATCAGCAAATTCCCGACCGGATCAATATTGCATCCACCGGGTCGACGGTGATAAAAATACAACTATTATGACAGTTGAGTACAAGCCGCCCCATAAATTATCCGTGGAGAATCTTCGAGCGGGTTTGCGACCGATGCAGTTCTGGGATGAAGTGGTCAGACCGGACTCCGTTCCCACGGAAGGGGCCGAGAAACTGAGATATAATGCGGCTTGGCTAACCGGTTCAGCTGTGGTTCAGGAGTATCATGTCATGCTCCAGGAAGGGCTCGAGTACTCATATCTGACTAATGGATTCGCATTGGTTTTGCTGCGGGTCCCCTATGATAATCCGGGCACCTTATACTATCATCTCTGTGAACCCAACATGGAGGTCAACCCGGATGATGAACTGGGTTCTTTACAACAGCCGCTAACAGCTGTTGCTCGGGTCTTGTGTTTATGCCTCATGAGTTTCCGCTCACAATATCGTGACCAGGAGTGGCGGAATGCCACAAAGAAGCTACCAAAATGGAAGACAAGTTTCGATCACACACGTTCCCAGATCCCGGAATCGGAATTGCAACAAAACCCGCCCGATTCGGAATATGCAGCATCGGAGTATACGAGCTCTGAACCTACTACATCAGAATATATACCGTCTTCGTCTCCTGCTCCCCCCCCTGCCGACACCCGTCGAATACCCACCCGGTCTCGAGCTAGCTGCGCGTCGCCGAATCTGACACCACGTCATGATTCTGACTCGGACGCAGATCAAGCTCCAGGAGGAAGGAAGCGTGGCTTCAGTCAGATTGCATCCTCTCCTTCGTCTCCATCTGCTCAACGATCAGCACATCTGGCGGGAGATCAATATACCCCGATCGGCAGCCAAGGTCAGCAGCACACCGCACAGTTTTGCACCCAGAAATGTCTACGTAGCCTGCAACGAGGTGGTCAACTGGATGTTACTTGCCCAAATGTCATGCTCCACCGACAGGGGGGGGACAGCAGCCAACACCCCATCAATGCCAAAACGCTGATCAAGCAACTCAAACAGCAACTAGATGAAAATATCGACCGAGACTGTACACCAATGGGGGGTTGTGGCGCATCGGGAGTCCCATTCAAAGTCACTTGTACGGCATATGGATATACTATGGTCGGTAAAGGCACAACTTCCCGACGGTGGGAGGAGGTCAAACGTGAGGAAGTCGTATACCGTGTACTCGACCAAGCACAGGCTTCTGCTGTTCCTGTTTTTCTGGGGGCAATCGATTTGGCCAAATCCTACTTCGTACATGGAGCTGGTGAGATCTGCCACATGCTCATCATGGCCTGGGGAGGTGAGCCCATACATAAGATAGAGCGTGACACTACGATCACACGTGAGATTGCGAGGTCTGAGAAGGAGATCTGTTCCTTGGGAGTCTTACACCAGGACCTCCGGTCGGACAATATTCTGTGGAACGCCGAGCTGGGACGGGCCCTGATCATTGACTTTCACTGCTCGAAACTGAATCACCGACCTATGAAAAGGCGGGTGAAGTCACCCGGGAGGCATCCGTGTAGAGAACTGCACAAGCGAAAACGACTTTGTATTGTCTAATAATGAAGGTAAGAGGAATTGCACGCCTGCGCGTGAATGAAAACAGGCGCAGCCGCAATTTCCGACGCAAAAAAGGAAAGGCAAGGAGGGCGGTTGGGGAAGGCGCAAACGTCTTCGGTGTAGACGGGACCAGGGGTCACGATCGTGTGGGTGTAGAATATGGGAGGGGGGAAGAGAGGGAAGAAGAAATTGGGTTAAGAGAGGGTCGGAATAGCACTTACACGCTCTAGTGGCTAATGAGGAATCAGAAATAAAAGATATGCCAATGTTAAATTGCATTTCTGCGTCTTTTAGCTCCTTAATCGGCGTGGGAAGATGATCTGGAGCATTTTAGCACTGGAGCTCCTAAAAGCGCTGATGTCTACGGGCGCTGGAGTGTCGAAGGCCACTGGAGCCTCTATTCAAAACTGAGTACGAAATAGATATGTTGCGACAGAAAACCTACATGTTGCAATAAGCGCCTGACTGCACGGGAGGCTTGAGCAACAGAATCATTAACACGACTTTCCCGGGTATGCTGCTAGAGATACATCCCGTCAACCGTCCCCCGTCCACCGAACTCCTTCGAAAATCTTTTATTCGATTTCGCGGCCAGCTCCAAGTATCTATAGCTCACTTGGTTGGCATCTGCCTCGGCAAGTGCATGTGCGATTGCTGCGATGTTTTTGATCTGGCTCATGTTAGTCAACAAGGGAGACGTGCATAGCAGCGCTCTGGAACCCACCTCGCGTCCGTTCAGAGCCAAAGATTCCAATCGTCGAAGGTCGCGCTCCTCCACAACGGCAGGTCCTTGCATCGTACGCGCCTTGGACAGAAAGGTTGACCAAAGATCTCTGCGAAACTCCCTCGTTAAATCTTCATACTCGATGGCCAAATGGATCCGGCTGAGAATTGCATCATCAAACTGAATACCCCGATTCGAAGTCAAGAAAAGGATTCCTTGATAATATTCGAGCTTTCGGAGGAAAACAGTCACAAGGCGATTGTGAGTATCGTGGTAAGATGTGCGCTGTTCCATGAACGCATCTGCCTCATCCAAAAGAAGCATGGCATTAAAATGTTTGGCGATCTTGAATACCGCTTCAAGTTGTTGCTCAAGCGCATTTGAATCGCCGTGGTCGACAACAAGTTCGCCTGTAGATATCTGGAAACGTCAGCACGGCTACAGCCAGCGCCATGGGGGGCTTCTTTACCGAATAGAGAGGAAGCTTGAAATATTCCGAGGTTGCCTCAACTGTGAATGTCTTGCCAACGCCCGGTGGACCACTAGCACGAGTTAGGCCGGGGGACTTGATTGGGCACAGATACTTCACCGACGTACTTCAGAAGGATGTTGAGTCCCTGGCCTTTTCCATCAATAACGTCGTCGAACGGTACCGTCGGTATCAGACCCAGACGGGTTTTCGCCAATGACAAGAGCAAAGTCCTGTCATCGGAAGGGATCTGCAGGCAGTCGAAGGATTGTGGTGACCAATCCACTTCCCCAAGCGCACCAACTGCGCACTCCACTGGGATCACATCAGTCGGACGCCAAGCAATTGCCAGTCGTGTCACATACAGAACATCTTTTCCCTGAAGCTGAAACAGCATGCTGTTGGGCAGGCGACCAAGAGATCGGTCTCGCTCAGCTGTTGTGCATCCACCCCATCTCCTCGCATTCTCTCCTTCTCTCGCTCGCGGCCCTCCTTAAGCATTGCACCTATGTCGACGACCGTTATCCCATTCTTGTCTTTTACCCCTCCGTCGCGGAGTGACGGCCGGGAGTAGTTTGGCTGCATCTCATGAAAAAATGCTGCGTCCACTGCCACTCGACTGTTGATGTTGAGTTTGATAATCTTCCCCTTGTTCATAAAGAATGCGCTGCCTTTGCAGTGCCGAATGTGGGAGCCAGCCAAATCCCGAAACTTTCGGCCTCTTCCGACCAAGTCTTTCCGGACTTGCTCGTGATTTGGATGGTGGCGGAGAGGGAAGGCCTCCAGGCTCTCGATCGGCTTTGACCCTCGGAACTTTGCTACGCGGAGAAAGATACCGGCCTCGCCGAACTTGATTCCATCATAATCAAAGAATCGGCATTCGAGATTGAACCATGTCTCGTCATTCTGTGTCACCTCTTCCCCCGCATCAAATACGACACATCGGGGCTCTTTAGTGCCAAAGCATGTTGTGAAAACATGGGAACCCGGTTTGAAAAGCGCCCAGAGCAGGTCATAAGTTATGTGACCGTGCTGCAACATTGACTCGAGACGCTGCGCGATATCCGAATAGGCCCGCTTGAGGTGGTCAATGAGCAAGCGTAGGTGCTGACGTGCGAATGCACAGTCTGGGTTGTTCATATCCTCCGCATAGTTGTCGAGCTCTGGGAGGAAATGAAACAGGACATTTTGTTCGATCTAAACCGACGTCAGCGCTGTTCTTGGAGGTACTGTAATGCTCAGTCTCAGTTACCGATGGCTTGTCCTCCATCAAGCTAATAGCTTTGATGCCGTGCAGCACGACGCGCAGGATGTCGCGTAGGCCTCCCGATTTGATATCTATGTACGGTATCACCATCTCGGAGTTGCGTTCTGATTTACGGTTAATGTTGTGTCCGTCACAGCATGCAGAGTATCACGAACCAACACGTTCGCGGACAACGAATGCATATTCAGCATAGTCGTCCAGGCTACTGCTGGTCCCCACCGGTTCGGCGATCTTATATTTGCATGTTTCTTTATCCCACCTAGATCAGTCGTCAGCCATCATCTGAAAAAGGAAAGTAGAAGGGGAAGATGGCTAGTGGCTCATACGTTTCCACAACTGTTTTGAATGAGCATATAGATGCCCACTCTCTAAACAATTTGAAGTCATCCGGTGTAGTATGGATCGGATGTTCGAGATCAATTCCAACCTGAATGCCGTCCTGTTCATTGCTTGCAGAACTAGATCGATCAGGCTTCATTGCCATGGAAAGTTCAACCGAAGGCCATCCATCGCGGGTGATTTTGACCAGCTGCTTCTGCAGTTCATCCGCATCAAGCGGCGGCGTGGAGGGTCCGGACGAACAGACAGGAGTAGTCGGCAGCTCACCAGGCCATATGGCTGGGTTGGACAAGGCTTGTTTCACCAATTTAGCCACGACTGGCTCCAGCTCTCCGACAATAATTGTGTGCAAAGATTGTTTTTCAAGTCGCTGGTCAATGGCTTGGGGGCCTGATGGGGAGGTGTCAACGTCCTGGTGAGTAGCTATCATACTGATTAATTCAACGGTGGTTGGTAATGAGGTTGTTCAGAACAGATTGGTACTATGTGGAATAGGAGCTTTAATCTCCAAAGATAAATCCATGGGGAGACGTGCGCCCTTTTATGTCTACGGGACGCTGGGATACATTATAGTTTTCCCTTCTCCTCGCTCCCCTCTTCCTCTTACCATTCCTTTTTCGGCCAGAAGGTGAGCATACTAGAATACAGGGTGTTCTCGCTCGTGGTCTGGACCTGCGGATAATGATTTTGATAACATCGTGCCGCGAGGTGCGTGACGGAGGGCTCGAGCATATTGCATTGTGCGGGCTCTTCCGATTGACTATCCTGACATAGCTCAAGGCTCTCAGAATTGTATGCATTTCCTTGTCACATCACCTACTCCAACATCTGTGTCAGATATTCAAAACTATTTGGCTATTTCGACTTTCTTGGCCGTCCCGACGACTAACAGGCAAGAAGTGTAATAATCCTTTAGGTATTCAAGGCTTATAGAAGTAAGATACAAGGAAAAATATGCAGATTATTCTAATTTTGAAAATCTTGTTGGGCCGCTAAATTCTGTTAAGAATGTGTGGCGCAGCAGCATGCATGACGTGGGCCCCACATGGGAGCATATATGGAGGGGCCCTACCCTACCCGGAAAAGCCTTCAGCTTCTCTCCATTTCTCAAACATACTCCACCATGTCTGCCTGTGTAGTTTTATCGCAGTTTGCGGCTTTAGCAGCCCGCGCGGAATCAATGGAAAAGAAACTTTCTGCGAGGAAAATCCGGCCAACCCAAGATCAACTGGATCAATTTTGTGAATATAGGGACAAGTTGAGAATGACCCTATCGAAACTTGACGCTGAGGTCACGAGCCTAGTACAGCCTGACGAGGAAGCTATCAAGCTCCTGAATCGAATTCGGTCAGGGCAAAATTCCTTGGCGACTATCTCAGTAGCCTTTTCAAGGAATCTGATCCTGATTTTTAGTGGTCCTAAGGACTCTAGTCTGGACTCAGAACAAGTGACAGCGAACAAAAAGCACACTCGAACAAGGTGCCTGAAATTAAGGAGCCAACATCCTCACGTAATACTGAAGTGGGCGCAAGCCCTTCCACCTTCGACATGGAAGTCAAGAGGAATGACAGATAATGCTTTCGATTACCTTCTCAAAACGCTGGAAGCGGACCGATTGGAAAGTGTTTTACCTAAGGTACATTATATGTTGCAATCTTTGGGAGAGGAGGAGCCGTTAGATACGTGCGATGCTTTCAAATCATTCGTTTCAGAGATTTTGAATACGACCACTGCAATTGAAAGTGGAGACACCCCGAATACTAGCCAACAGAAGAAAAGATCTCTTGCAACAGAAACTACACATTGTGCTACGCCCAGAAAAATCGTGTGCACAGAAGGACGGTTCCAAGGTTAGTGGATCGGACATTCGGAGCATCAGCAAACATTAACGAGGCCAGGCGCGAACGAGAGCCGAGTAAATCAAACTGACAGGGAGGACGAAAGGCAGCGACAACTCCAGCTGATGGAGAGAAGCAAACGCACGTAACTACAACGCCAGATAATGCCTTGATGAAGCTAATTGAGACAACAGAAATCGATTATAAGGGGTCGTCAATGCCGACTAGTAAGCTGCCGCTTTTGATTGACAGGCTTCCCGCAGCAATAAAGAGCAGCGAGCAATGGAAATGGGAACGCAAAATATTCTTGGAGAATATTGGAATGTTGGAAGCGAATATGGTGGACAGGACGGATTGTCTGAATTTCTTCGTTCCCAAGGATCGAAATCACGACATCTCTATCACTCTAACCGTCGGTCACGAAGTTGGACTGGAGGTAATTGGTGAAGTAGAAGCTATTGACGTGTGAAAGTCACAGTTGCCCCTATCACACGGACTCGGCATCCGGAAGGTACAATCGCTGTATCTTCCTTTGAGGGGTCGTTTTCCCAGATCGGAGGAGAATCATAGTCCACCTTCGGATCATAAATCATTATGGATTTGCCTTTTCCTTTGATTTTCCTAGCATAGTCCGCCTCTCGAAACAATTTGAAGCCCTTTATGTCGTATAAGACGTCGTCCTCCGCGATAAACCCAACGCCACCAGACATTTCACAGAGACCGAGGAGAAATTTCTTCGCAATCGAGGCAATCCCGGAATCGATATTGGGAGTCTAAGGAGTGACCGGCGAAGAAGGGTAGCTAATATTTTGTCAACATACACCAAAGCGCTTATATGAGTGAAGTTACCTCTAGCCCTTTTTCCTCCCAGCACATGCAAGGATGAGGTTTTTTCTGCTCCGGGTGGGGGAGGGTGTGCGGGAGGGGCAATTGTCACATGACAAACTTCGCGGCCTAATCGGGTAGAAAGCACATTTCGAAACCGCGAGAGCAGCAAACGTTTCATATGAAGACAAGTCAAAAACAGAAATTTTATTTTCTTCCGTCGACTGTCATGAACTTCGAGTTAAAACCCTAAAATAAAAGAAAAGAAAGGAAAAGAGCCTCAACCTCTGATGTTAGATCAGCAGTCTGGCACTGTCGCCAGCAGTGACAAGTTTAGTGAGGCGTCAGCCTTGCGGATCTCTCTTTGTGCTAGATATTATGTGCCTTGGCGATGGGAAACTCCGATCCGAAAAACCAAGTCATGTTTAGCTGTGTTTCGATCATCCGACAAAAGACACCCACTACCCACTCTGGTCAAGTTGGAAAAATGCGGGAGTTTTAGTGGATTATGCAAGTACAACACTCAACTATCTGAAACCTAAGTTTAAGAGTATGCCAGCGCATAAGGCACACTCCTAATGGTCTAGACCTCTTATCAAATTTGAATTTGCCTCAGTCAGACCTTGCGACTAACCTTGCAATTCTTAGATTTACGTCAAATTGGATTACTCTCTAACTTTTGCTAGGTTCTTGTCTTCTTGATTGTTTAAAAGGTCTTTTGGTGACGTTGATTGGCCAACAGGGACCCCCACCCGTATTCATGGCGTTGGATTATCGGAGGTTTGTACCGCCTCATTATCTTGAAGGGGGGATGACACTGCATTAGTGCCACTCATGCCTCATCTAATTTGGAGTGGACACCATGTGCTGCTGTGTTTACGACCCGGCGGACGTGGTCGCAGCATGACATTAGCGCATGCTGAACATCAGTCAGGACACACCCACCCTCCCCCCAAATTTTCCAAGACTCTTCTCTATTTAAGAAGTCAAGCCAACAGACATTTTATCATACGAACCAAGATTTACTACTATTCAAACCCTCTCCAAACTACAGCTAGCTATTTCTCTTGAACATTAGCGTATCAATACGACAGCAGACTCATAACTTACCCCTCCACGTCTATCCACGATGCCTCAGGATATTGATCCCAACGCTCGAAGAGAAGTTAACAGCGCGCTCATTAGCTCTGGGAGCGCTGCTGTTGGACAGATGGTTGATACCGCCAATTCCTCTGTTGAGAAGCGTCGCAGGAACAAAGAGGCGCGAGAGAAACGCGAGGCTGAAGAGAAAGCCGCCAGCGAAAAGAGGGCAAATGCCGCTGTTCGTTTCAACCCCTAACCCTTCAAAAGTTGAAGCCCCCGGACATGCTATGTACTGACGGTTATCAATAACAGAAGGGCGGTGTCTCTGGCTAGCCAATGTTTCAGAGCTGATATGCTGGCCTTACGAGGGTCTGTAGCCAGAAAGCTAGATGACTCTTACTACCATTGCATCCACAACTTCATTTCCTACCAGTCGTTACTGTATTCATTCTTTCGTATTTTTTGCTCACAGCTTGGGGAAGGCATGCTCCAGGAAGAGGGTGTGCTTTGGTACACATATTCTCTATATCGATTATAGTATATCTATCGAGGAATAGGTGTAGATGTACTTGGGAATCAACTTATCTGGTTAACCTTTATCCAAAATCCTCCAGAATTCAGGACCAAACAAAAGAACTAATGTGGAAGTTTACTTTTCCATATAATATAATTGTAGCCCTTTAAGAGATAGGTTTTGAGTTAGTAACCAGATTGAAGCGAATTACTGCCGTTTGGTGGCTGCAGGACTTTGAATAATTGATCCCATGTAGCTAGGTGCGCCCAGTATCGTTACGGATGCTGCACTAAGAAATTGCAGCTGAGACACCTAAGGCATGCAAAGCTCGAGCCGCCCAACCATAAAACAGGCCACCGCCCCTTCCTCCGTCCACACGCCTCTCGGCTAGCTCACTCCCTCACCAAAGTTGCATCTCCCCTAGTGCTCGCCCTTCTATTGATTAAAGTCTTCATTGACGTTATGGACACTAACGCACTTATCGATCTCGTTCATGAGATGCAAGGTCAACTTTGGGTTGACAAGGTGAACGAGTCCTACAGAACGGGCCGTCTCTGCCAGTGGGTGTCGACTTTCCATCCCGATAAACTTCACTGTCAACTTGATGGTACCTTTCACCATGGTGCATTTAATGCCGGTATGAAGATGGTCTTCTGTGACAGTACTGCCTGGATGGTTCGTTTCCCTCGTGTGGGGATGGTCTGTGACGACTACGCCGACGAGAAGGTTGCCATGGAGGTCACGGCTCTAGGTCTCATCCGCAATCGGACTACCATTCCCGTCCCGAGAGTCTGGGCGTGGGGTCCCGCTGCCAGCAACCCACTTGGTCTCGGCCCCTTCATCATAATGGACTTCATTGATGGTGTGAGCCTTAGCGATCTTCTCCAGGACCCCAGCACCGAAAGCCCCAACAGAGTTATAAGAGAGGATATCAGCGACAGTGATATAGAAATTATCTACAGGCAGTTAGCGAAATTTTTGCTTCAGCTTTTCAAACTCGATTTTGACCGGATTGGCAGCCTGGTATCACAACAGGCTGAAGCCCAGAGCCCTACACCGCCACGACCCCTAACTTTCAAAGCACATAGCATCCTACAGAATGGAGGAGTTGACACTTTTGGTATGCCTTATTGTCTTCTTTTTTTCTTTTCTTCCTAGATCCTAAATATCTTGACTGATTTAGTGGATTAACTGAAGTGAATGATGTCTAGGTGACCGAGCCCAGGGGTTTGCAACAACGACTGAGTATTTTCAATATATTGCCGGGCAGGACTGGGAGCAGCTTGTTCAGCAGCCGAACTCAACTGTTGGTTTATATGATTCCAAAAACAAATATATAGCGTTCAAGGTCCTCAAATCCCTGATACCTGACTTGGTCAACGCGAAGTATGACCGTTGCAAGTTTAAGCTGATTTGCGATGACCTTGGCCTGGCAAACCTAATTGTCCGTGGCAGGCAAGACCTCACTGTTATTGGAGTAGTGGACCTCGAGTGGTCTTACATCGGACCCGCCCAGCTATTTGGCTCGGCGCCGTGGTGGCTTCTTCAGGACAGGCCCGTCAATAGCACGTGGGATTACAAGGGCGACGAGCCGCCTAAGATTGCTACCCGGTACTTCAAATATCTAGATATTTTTATACGCGTCTTGGAAGAGGAAGAGGCAAAGATGCCAGAACATAAGGAGAGAGAACTCTCTAGTCTCGTCAAGTGGTCACAAGCCTCCGGAGCCATGTGGCTGCACATGCTCCTCTCATCTGGATTCAATGATCATCGCAGTTTTCCTTTTATGCAACTGCGTCGACATTTGGGGGCTGAGTGGGCGAGGCGTGAGAAGGCATTTGAACACGCAGAAGAGCTTCAGGCGTTCGCGGAGTGGAAGGTGAACGAGTTGGATAAGTATGATGAAGCCTTGGAGAAGATGGAGGAGAACAAAGCGCTCGTGGAGAGCGGAAATATGACAAAGCAGGAATTCATTTCCAAGGCTTCAAGAGAGCTAGGCCGTATCCCCTGTTCCTCGTCGTCTTATATGAATGGTGTAATCAAAAATGACGAGGGATTGCTCCATAAGGTGGCTGCCTGGCTTGGCTTGCAAGCTGGAAAGTTGAGAGCGGTCGGAAGGACAGGATGAGGAGATTTTATATTACCAAAATGACTTGAGTTTTTGTTTCTTAATGTCTTACACGAAGAATTAACTTCATTTGATAATTTACCGAGTGACTTAGGACTGGGATGATCTCTATTGAACTGATAAAGACTAAGAAGCGAGTTTCGTAACATTTCCGAATTTCTTGGCAACTCTGGGTGTCATCAATCGCGTGAAAGATGATGTCAGTTGAAGCTATTCTGAGGTGCAGCTGCAGCCTATCATAGGGTCTGCTGAACAAGTGAAACAGTCAGTCACAGGAGGGTAGATGTCATTCCCCTTAGCGCTATGGAGATCAAGCTAAGAGTCAGCCGAGGCAAGCGTCTCGTCTACTGTCACTTAGGCTCTATGTAGGAAGGGATGGATGTCCATATCATTCGGTGGCTGAATGGCCGCCTAAGATAGCTAACTTATCTAAGTTAAGTAGCTTACTAAAAGACAGGGGGGTCGCTCAACTATGGTAGGCGGTCCCGGATGGCAGTACGTTCTGACACTCTATCCCCATCGTCACGGAGAAAGAGAGTGCCTTTGGTCGGCGGAAACAAGTATCTCTCGTTTACTGTGAATTCCGCTTTGTCCCCTACCGACCACACAAAACGTAAACAGACTGCTACGGAAGGAACACACCACCTTTTCTCGGATCATAGCCTTTCAATTCTTAGTGGACTCCCCTGGTGTGATTGGGCAACTTACCGCGTTCTCAGAGACCCATCGTTCCAGGACAAGACGCTCAATATCAGGAATATATAAGCCTCCCTGGATAGCTCTTTCTAGACGAATTAATATGGCTGCTGTAGTCGGCTCCGTGTTTTGAGGAGGTTGGTTGCGAATTTTCCTGCTCAATCTTCTCAGAATCGGGTTGTCCTTGGGGTCGAGAATTCTGCTGGCCAAGTCCAAGAAACTTTGTTGGATGAATGGAGCAGCCTCCACAAGGTGACCTCTAGCAACATCTACTATGGTAGACTCGTCACTCTCGTAATAAGATATCACATCGAAAAGGACATCGTTCTGACATTGGCATTGGGAGAACACTTGAGCCAGATCCGGAAGTACGGTCACAGTCCCAGGAACCTGACTATCACTTTGGAGATGTTAGGGACATCCTTAAGAGATGGAGCTGAGATATACCGAGACTCTGGTAGTACAAGTGCATTGCTTGTTTCGGAATCGCAGTTGCTGCGGCTAATAAATTAATTACTTAATGCAAGTCGGGAGTGACGTAAGCTATCCAAGGGTTTGGCGTTTATCTCTCACTTTTGATAGTCTTGATAGGGCTCGGTTGAGGGGCGAATGAGAAACAGGTAGATATTCTATGAGTCCATGGGAATGCATACGTTGGGCAGGCATTTTGCAGTACAGGAAGTTGTATGCCAGTGTTGTATCAGGCAAGCTTTTGATCATCGGTTTTGAGTTGGTGCCCAATGATCCGTAATCTTCAATCACGTGCTAAGTCAACTCATCAGGTGCCTTTGATTACCCCGCCATGCCATCATTGGAACCCCACTTCATTTGTTTTTCCACTACCTTTAACATCCGAGTCTCCTCTTTTCTCGAAAGCAAATCACTCACTAACTCTAACGGGAGTACAGCCTTCATGATGTCGCAGACAACATCAGACACACCACATTTATTTGAGGACGACCTACCAGAGAGTGCGAATACAGAACGAAAGATCTTCGCGGAATGGGCTTCCTCAGTTCCGTTCAAGAAGCAAGCCGAAGATTTTGAAATCCATAATTCAGTTGAATTAGACATTAAGCTGGCTCCCTTTCTACGATCTCTCAATCTTTCTAGCAAGGTATACAGTTTTCCTTTCATTCGGAACATACACCTGACAAAAACACAGGGGTATTCTTTGGTACAGATACCGGGACCGGAACATGCACCATTTCACCACAGCAAAGGCGATGCTTTTATCATTCCGATCGAAATACTTGACGGTAGTCCGAGCGCCTCAGGGAAGCCTCTTCGAGAAGGAAAGCGGCTGCTCATGAAGGCAAACCACGAAGTGAAGATCGGACCGAAGCTGCGCCTTCTCTTTATTTTACTCTAGCAGACAAGTTACACGGATTATACTGCAGGAATAGTGGATAAAGAAGAAAGCTCATGGGGAGTGATATTTGGTGTTCAAAAGGTTGAAAGCGGGCTGGGAACATCACCGGGAAATGAAGGACACAGCGGTGGGACAAGCAAATGCGGTTGGGCTAGAACACTTGAGGGGAGCCTGGAGAATAGACTCAGCTCGTGTGACTGACCGCGGGAATTGGAGTTGCTGGTCAAGACGCAATTAGCATCACCTGTATTTCTAGAGAATTGAGCCAAATCGTGCGACCCTGTGTTGGGCAACGTCCCATCCTCTTCAGATCTGACTTGGAATTCCATGAATGAGGACTGTAATGGCATTCTCTGGCTGCTCGGCTCGGCGCGAGGAAGGGTGGAGAAGGTCGTGAGTTCATGAGAGTCCATGCTGGGGTAGACTGTAGCATTGGCTTGACGGCTCAAATTTTCGCTGTTATCTGACGGGCGATCATCATGCCGTGGGTGAGCGTCCATGGACTCGTTGGCGACATGAGAAGTACTCTGGAGCGGATTTCGTCGGCCGCGTTTTGTTGTTTGTGAGATCATTTCGAAGTCTTTGGTCATGTTTTCAAACCACTCCGAGATTTCGTGCTCCGATACAATGGTGATATCCGTGTCATTACTTCGGGCCCCCTCCATAGTCTCAGAGTTGCCGTCGTAGTCTTTCAGTAAAGACTTTGCGAGCGATGATAGTTCCTGAATTGGGATACTTTGGAATAAAGCATGTTCAAAAATCGTGGCCCGAGCAAACATCCCCTGGACGGCCCCTTTTTGGACAGGCGTGGTGGAGACTTCATGCATTACTTTCAAGAATAGATGCTGGACGATTCCTCTTTGAATTCCCTTCCGTACAACATTTTGGTCCGATTTCGGGTATCCATGGTCTCTGACAAATTGAGTCATTCTCCCAGCACGACCAGTAGCTGCAGTTTTGTCTCCAACGCGCACAGCTCGGATCTTCTCGTAAAGGGTATCTACCTTGGACTTCCAGCCGTGCTCAGTCTCCCAGGCGGTAAATTGCTGGGCCAGAGATAATTGGCTAAGACCTTTCAGAAGTTTCTGTTCTTCGCTTGGTGTTTTATTGCCGTCAACTTGTTTCAAATGATCGACTCTTTTATCTGCAAACTGCAGCTCTTGTTCGTTTTGCAGGATGTCAGAAAGAGAAGCGTTGTCCTTGCAAAATTTCAAAACAGAAGGGAGTTTCTGTTTCACGGATTTGATCAACTTGGCAGAGGAAAGATCTTGGGTGGACAGTCGCTTCTGTTTTCTCGCTGTATCTGGCAGAGTCTGTCGCTTTCTTTTTCCTGTTGCATCTTGCAAAGTATGGGTCGAAGTCAACACAGGGGTTCCTCGGCCCGGTAAGTTGGTAGGTAAGTCAATAGAATCCCGTTCATGAGCAGGCATACTTTGCGAAGAAGCTTCTGCCTGAGGAATCGTGGTCTGACGGATGACAGCATCTTCCGAAGAGCCATTACCAAGTTCCACCTCAACGCTATGCGGAAGGCACTCGCTTTCATTCCAGCTGGCATTTAGCACACGTCCAATTTGAGTCAGAGTCTCGAGTGCCAGATGGCGATGGATACTGAGAATTTCACGAGGGGTATCACGGAGCAGGTTTAACGCTGATATGACTTCGGTTTCGAGTGGTGCCATGGCGAGTATCTTGGTAGGTAGGAGCCCTTAGAGACTGCGAGATGAGTGCCACAAATATAGTTTAATAGAGGGGTTATGAGCGAGCGGGGAAAGGGGAAAGGCCCAAACGCCAGAAAAGGCCACACACCAATCGAAACGCAGCTTGTTGGCCGCCGGCCAACAAGCTGCGTTTCGATTGGTGTGTTTGCCCGTAGTCCGCCGTGCACAGCCCCTAGTTACCAAACCCACCCAACTTTCACTCTTAGTAGTCGTTGGGCATGAACTAGATTCCTGTCGGTAACCCACTTAACAAGCGCCTGCTGGTGGGCTTTGACCCGTATGGAAAGGATGCCGGTGCGTTATAGAGCATGTTAACTCTTTACAGAACCTTCAGCTTAGACTGCAATAGGAGTTGATTAGTACTAAATCTGTATGGATAGCTAGTGTACGACAATTAACGATAGAGATCAAGAACTAGATGAAGATTTCCGCGATATGAAATCCTAGGGTTGGGTATCGAAAGGATCTCTTCCCTGTTATGCGATCAACTACATCTGTCGTCAATCTTGATAATTGGGAGTTCATGACTAGGATATAGAGGAGATATTGGCTATAAAGATGCCAGCCTTTTCTTATGCCCTCACCGCAATTTGGCACAGACCAATCCATCTTTTTGTTGTCTCCCCTCAAAGTAGTTCCCTATCGATCCAACATGTTTTGTATCACGAGCCTTGTCATATCCTTGAAAGCCCTCATTTTCACCTCGGAAAATGGAACTATAATCAGTGCAAGACCAACAGCTCTCGATGCGACGAGAGAAGTTACTGCGAAATATAAGAACGTTCCACCAATGTCCAAATCAGGCCGACCAACAGAACAGCCAATCGATGTTATTAAGGCTGAGAAAGAGTTTGGGATATCATTTTTCAAAGATTTCTCTCAAATCCTTATTCAGAATGGACAATACCATATGGTATTCGAAGCTCGGTTCCAGGGGCATCCCCACGAGATCAATCTCGTGTCATGCCCACAAATTATTTGTGCTCATAGTCTTTCCGAGGAGGACCGGACAGCCCTTCAATACAAAGTCGAGGGTATCAAGGGACAAATACCTGAACCAGTCTGGAGAGAGCTCAACGAGCGGTACAATATAAGAAGAAAGGACTGGCTTGTGATTTCCAAAGAAACTTGAGACTCAATCTATTTTGTCATTTCGATCATTTCGATCTTCAATCCTCGGTGTGGGGCGGGGGTTGGGCTGTGGAATTGTCTATATATTGTTCTACTCTTCATGTTCAATATCTGGTTGCATTTTCTGTCTTTTCCAAAACCCTTTCTAAAGGCATGGCCCCAGTTCCAATGAACAACCAAGACCAAATGCTACTTTCCATGTCATGGAGTTACATTCTGTCCTGTTGTATATCTTGGTATCTTTTTATGATCTTTGTAGGCCTGCTTCGGCTTAACCATGCCCCACGCGAGAACGAGGATTTTTCCGTACAGCGATGTGTCCTTTATATAGTCTTGTTTCTATTGCTCCCTTCTTACTGGTTATGGGTTCAGGGTAAATTCATCCCAATGGAATTTTATGTGACTCGGGCTAACTTATACATTGAGAATGAATCAGATACCTGAAACCGTCAATATAATCATGCTTCTTCTGTGCGTCACTCTTGTTCATTCAACAAAACTTCTCACGAATGAGAACCCATGCTTGGGCTACTGGATGAAATATAATACACCTTTAGTGGAAGTTTCTTTTAGCCTAGCATAATGTTAGTTATCGTTTTTCTGTACCCAGCTGAAGGAACGGGGTACTTCCATCATACTTCTTCGTAGTGTCTTGCTGCAACAGAGATTTCAAATAAACGGAGATTGCTAGAGCCTGCTGCGGTGGGGAACGTGCATTATGAGGCCTAATTTTACCCTGTACCAGCGGTCCAGTAAGGATATTCTCCTCCAGTATCAGCCTAATACTGGCCTAGAACACTCTGCATGCCTCTAGTTTCATTGGGATGAGTCCTTGGCTGGATCATGGCTTATTCTGCCGCACGAGACTAACCAGCCTGCGATGAGTGAATAGAACTACGCCCAGCTAATGAGAAATGACTTCAAGTAACCGCCCGGTATCTATATAAAGTAGATCATCATTGCCTGCATTGCCGCTTGATACATGCATGTAACCATGCTGTACAGTGAGTATTCCGTCTCTCGGTTTTTATTTTTATTTTTTGGATGCTTTTCTACAAGGGCAATGTAGCTTACGGATCATCTAGACTACCAATCACTACTCAGGGCATTTAAACCAATATGCCCGGCCGAGGCGCATACGATACCACAGGGGTGAAAAAGCCGGGAGCACCACCTCCGCCACCATCAACTCGGTAGACAAATCAGATGGTTGTGATGCTAGGTGATCAGACAATAATGAATAAGGGGAGCTTTATTGTTTGTGTCTGTGATTATCATCAGTTTGCATTGTGTTAAGGAAAGAGATTCAATTTGACTGGGCTTTCTTTGAGATCTGACAAGCTATAAATTCATGTAGCCTGATCATCCAACATATACTTCTACATCCATTAATCGTTTTCTTACATCACTTTTGTTTGTTCTGTGATTTTCTGTCTTCAATTTTCAATTGCCTTGTCCTCCTTTGCTTTAGATCTCTTGATTTACCGTCATTCCAAACCTCAAAGTGAATAACTCTTTCCTTCTTTCGAACCACTGAATAATATAAGAGAGCTTGGATTTAACGGATATGCTCTATTTCCTAGGATGTGCTTCTACGGTCATGTTAAATATAGCTGCGGCTATCTGGAACCTAAACCTCGTGTCGTTTTGTGCGTCCTGGCTCTCAGTAATGAGTGCCCGGGGACTACTCGAAAAGATATAATACATATGAGCTCTATTTGTGGGAAAGAATACTGCTCTGGTATGTACCTGGCTGGCCTAATAAGATTAAGCTTATAAATGAATAAGAGCAGAAGAATTCCCGTGCAAATCTACATGAGGCCACCGCGCTACCGACGGAGTAGAGATTTACGGTCGGGCTGTCGGCGAGTCAACCAGGTTTGGTCATGAAAGGCGGAAAATCTTAGCTACTCCAATATATAAAATTGGTTATATACCAATCCTTGTCTAGCGTGTGCATCGGGAATGACTAGGTGCCCATAGGAAAGGAGGCTGGCTTGCTTAGATCAAAAATTTGCCAGCCTTGCGTGTTTTTATATCCATTGTGGCAAGTCTCGCGATGAAGTAGGCAGGATAGATATAAGAACAGCTAGTTCTCCCAACCTAATAAAGCAATTCTTTTGCTAACAGGCAATAAGATGCGTGAAAATATACAGTAGGTTTACCGCAAGCAGCTTATTAGAATTTTACTGACAGGCTCTCAGGGACCTTATCAAAGCCATCCCTGGCCTAGTGCCTGAAATAGCTGAATATGTATCCTGTCAATTATCTGGGGGGACAAGCTACCAGCATACCTTCCAGATTACTGGTCGCCAACTTTACACAGCATTTCTCGAGAATGCCGATCCATCCAAGTTCCTCATCGGCATTGGAATACGACTTGCCATGTCACCGTTGACCATCATCTCTACAGTGAATTTCCAAAACGCTTATCACGCGATGCAGGACTTGCACCACACTATCAGGGGTGCAGATATTTCTGAGATTTCTGTTATGGGTGTTTTGGTAAAGCTGGCCACACATGCTGTAACGCAACCACATCACGCATCAAAAGAATCTCAGGAGTTTGTCGAATTATGCTTAGCACGGCTACTCATACCAAGAACATTCTTAACGGTCTGTACGGCAACTGAACAAATCTGCAACTATGGAGACAGACGACTGTCTGGTGCAAGCCACGAGGTGGCCTGTGGCTTAGTGCTCCCGCGGCAAGTCCAGGTAACATTCTTTCTGCAGGACCTACATCTTTTCCTTGATGAGGTCCGCACAGTCTATCTAGTAGGCTTTCAGAGTGATCGATTGAGCCTACAAAACATCCTGTTTATCCTCATCGAAGCTTTTCCAACTCTCATAGATGAATGGTTAAGCAACCAGCCAAACCCGATACATTTCGAACTTTATTCACTTCTCGGACTACTTTTTATGTTGTTGGGTCATTCCCAGAAAGGGAATCCGGACTCATTCTACTATGCCATTTGCCTTGCCGTGAATGATCTCGAAAGAACATTAGGCATAATCAGAAAGGAAATGAGCATGGCCATACTCTATGGTGAACTCACTTGGGATGGAGCAACATATGCCTCTATAACATTTGGCGCATACTTGGATGATTTACGGAAACAACTACTGCATTTGCAAGACCACGCCGACTAAGTGGATCAATGGATTATATGGCAACCCTTCATGTACTTTCCTAGAGGCAAAAAGTGTTTTGTGTTCCTGTGGCCTACCTTTGAGATGGTAAAGTGTACATAGCACAGTTCTTCATATTCTTGACTGTTGGCGAGCGCAATGCTTTCACACGCCCGAAAAGGTCCGCCAATCATGGCCTGTGTGGCAAGAGTCTCAGATATGGCTGCGGGCGCATATTAGCGTGAAGTATAGCGCCGCAGTCGCGCCGCAGTCACCCCTTGTGCAGCTTCGCCGGACCGCCGAGGAGAAAACGAGTAACCCCTCAGGGCCACTGCGGGATGTACGCAGTGATGACCCACCATTTTAGGTCGGAAGGCCAATCAACATTTACTTCTGGTACTTGGCAGGGACGACTACGGTTCAGCTGGATGTCGCTTCGTAACCATTGGACATTCGCATCACTAGGCCCGCAAGCAGGAGACCCACTTGTTAGCACCGCTGTGATAAGTGAAATATGAGTCATGAACAAAGGTAGACGTTCTTGCTGAGGTGTTCTTTGTTTATCTCGAGGATAGATGTAGCAACCACCCCTCATACTATAGGCTCTTATACCCATTATTCTATGATCGTATTGGCTATGGACCAAGCCTTCTAGGAGGCTTGCGTTTCAAAGAGGCGTTTCCCATGACTCTATACTTCTTATTTCTATTTAGGTTTCAGAACAATTCTCACATGGCTATTTTCCTCACAAGAGGAATTTTATGAGAGCTATTCTATCCTGAAAATTTCCTTCTGGCCTGATACTTCCATGTCACATAATAACTTATGATCTTTCACATATCAACTTATTTCCATAAGTTGCTGCTTGAGTATCGCTACATGAAATAATCCATATGTGTCGTAGGGCAACATAAAAGGCTTTTCTTGTACGGCTAGCCGCTCGGAGACATCATTCTCGAACCAATCCAGCTCAAATGTATACAAAAGTCTTAGAAAGAGCCACATATGTCTAAGCCAGTCCTGAGAATGCTCTCACATTCCCCCGAGCGACATAGAACAGTGACATTTACCATACTGGGTGATTTCGGCTCAGTTTCGGCTCGATCCAGGACCCGGGAGACCAAAGTCCTTGGGAAAAGGCATCTTGACAGACCACTGAGAGATTAAGAGCGTGGATCCTGAGCGAGTCTGCAGACGCCAGAGTGTCCAGCTAAGGGAGTCCAGATGCTGTCACGGCTAATGTGTTTTGCGCAAATCGGAATAGTTATCTTGGTTGTTTTAGTGAAATGTGAAAATGTAACGTCGTGCAGATATGTATTCACAGGTCGGCGCTGAGTAAATGCTTGAACATTTGGGGACTCTTCTACCTGGTCAAAATGTCTACACCTAGGATTTGTGGGTCAAGCTGTAAGGCCTGAGCAGCACAGCCCAGTCATTGTGGCCTAAGGCAGTGGATCTAGACAGCTCTCGGATCTAGGCGCGTGGACCTAGGTCCCCAAGACCTCCAGGGCCAAGCACCTGAGCCCCTAAAATACCCAAGCATGCGCTTGGTGCCGGCCCGCACGTACATATCTGCCCAACGCGTAGAAAACCTTCTCTGACTACTGGTTTTGTGAAGGCCCATACGGTAGACCAGGGATTCCATTTAATGAATACTAGATCTCGCGAAAGACATTGACAGCTATTCATTCTGCAATTTATTGCCGGACGATTATTGGCAACCAATAATAATTGGTCTCCTGTTCTCGCTGCCTTGACTTCATGGGCTGCGGTCGAGTCGTCCTCATCAGTAGGAGGATTAGAGTCAAAATCCTTGGCTTTTATCTGAATCTTGCGTTGGCCTGTCTGGGCCGCTGGGTCTTAGCTCGAACAATTCATCGTAGAATCGGGTGAAGAGAGCTGCCAACTTCAAGTTCGTAAGGAACGGAAGAAGCAGTTTTAGTTGCGGAAATTAGTGGGGAAAGTCATTCGGGAGAGGCACCGGGTTAAATGGGAGCGATGTTCTTCTAACAGGTGAGTAGGTTGCCTCACACGGAGGGAAGTTCCCTTGCGTGGGGTCAAGCTACCTTGGGCACGGGAAGTTCCCTCCGACGGGCGAAGAGTCCCAGCGCATACGCATGAGGCGGGTGCATTTAGCGCGTACAGAGAACGAGTCCTGGCCTCGCTGTCGTGCACGCGCCCCTAGGTCCTGTTGCACGTATCAACTCCGTAGGATTTGAGACCAAGCCGATTCGTCACCGCCGGGGCGGTGGCGTAGGCGTAGTGGTAAGCGCTCCGAGGCAACTTCCAAAAGATGCGGGATTGGTCACCTTGCTTTTTAGACGTGGTGGGTTCGATTCCCATCGCCGGTACCACATTTACAGCTTAAAGACGATACCACACAGAGAGAGAGGCCTTCGCACAGTGAAGATGATGATCAGGAAGTTGGGTCCGTGAATGTTATACATTGTCAAATTGAACACCAGGAAACTGAAAAATAGTAAAGGAGTATCTGTGGTCTGCATTCGCTTCCTTGCATTAAACCATATGGTACTCTACGAGCCCTCTCAACCACTAGCTATGTCCTTATTTCGTCACCCAGGGCATATGCCCTTGGATTTGTGGAAGGACCAATCAATACTTTGATGATGGACACTCAATTAAAACGCGTGGGAGGCACGTGCTGCGTGGCCCGCTCGCTCGTGGATTACGCTAGTTCTACTACTCTGGTAAGTCATCGTCTGGAGTGTCTTCAAGATCATGTCCCATCTGCCAACTTTGTACCCATTCCTCCAAACGTTTTGGGGGCCCGGGTTGATGTGGAAATGCGGCGTGAAAGTCTCGCACCTTGTATGGAGCACCTTTGAGGCCATGTGACGGATACCAAGTCTCGTCAGGTTCACATCCTTTCCACCGTACTTGGTACTGGAGCCTTCCACGGAAGATTCGCGAGCCTACTACCTCTTCTACCTCCCATTCCTCTTCATCACCTGCGTCATACAGCTCAGGTGGACTGTTGGTGGTAGCCTTGGACTCGTGCATGCAGCGAGGTAGCACAGCCTCGAATAGCCACGAGACAAATTGCAAACGCATGTCGAACGGCGTTGACAGGAAGTGCGAATGGAGGGACGTAAAGTTGTATTCATCCTCACGTGGTGTAGCCTTCGCGATTAACGTCTTCTTGGCAGGTCGCCCTCTTGGTTTTCTTGGTTTAATCCGCTGGGCCGGGCGCTTGCCGGAGTTTAACGGAGTAGGTTTTGTTGGGATACCATCTTGACCATCCAATTCCACCGCGACTTGAGGTTTTTGGCGAACACTCCGTCTGAGTTTTTGCTTGACACCGTTTTCATCGGCACTCACGGAATGGATTTGTGCAGATCGTAGGTTAAGTGAACAACTGCGACGGACACGGAGTGCCCCTTGATCGCTTGTGCCGGAATTAGCACGCTGAGCGCATTGAGATGTACTGTTAGCTCTCTGATGACCTTCATCAGGTGAGAGGGTCGCTGAGTTGATGGGAACGGTATTTGTGGCACCAAAATGGATTGAAGAGTCTCCAAAGCGATCATCCGCGGTGCCGGTACTGGGAGATTTTGAGGATTGGTCCGTTTTGAGACGTTTGGGCGGTAGCCTTTCCGGCCCAACTTCGACAGATAATCGCTTGCAGGCTGTCGACATTTCGCTACAACCGCCGTTTTGCTCGCTGCCATTTTGTCTCGCGCTAGTCTCATAGTCATGTGGAGTGGGATTCTGATGCGTGCTTTGATTCCGAAAAGATCCAGCCAGACAGTTCGTGTCATAACCGTTAAGAGGTGATTCGCCGAAATCCTGTTTATGATCACGCAGGGGTGGTGAATCCAGCGAAACGTCGACATAAGGCGAATCGGCTTGTAACTCATCCATAGTGAACAGATAAGTATCGTTGGTAGTCTGACGTGGCTGACTGGTCTCCATGAAATCTTCATCTAACATGGTTTCTTCTAAGCCAACCGGCAAAGTGTTCGGTGCGTCGAGGGTTTTTGAGCCCTTATCGTAAGCATCCATGCAGCTATTGTGCGCATCACCTGCACGGATGCCATCTCGGAAGAGTAGGTCTGCTTGAATTTTGGGTTGGAATTCGCTATCCCCTTTCGAGCCCTCTAGAGCAGCCGAGGGTTGGAGAGACGTCGGAGACGAGAAGTGAAGCTCTGTGAAGGTAGGCTGAATCGTATCCTCGACCTTGAAAGCAGGCTGGGGACTCGAGAGATGTTGATAGGGAAAATGAGGTACGGTGCTGGAGCGCATGTTGGCATGAGCACACACTTCAGCTGGTGGACGAGCGGGAAGTGGATGTTCGCTTGGTCGATTTCCGGGAGTTGGCAAGCTTTTCTCGTGGCAGTGACTGAAGGGCCTTGTATCGGTTGCAGGAATAGTATTGACAGCAGCAGGGACAGGGGATCTTTTGGGGCTCTGGGAGGTGGATGTGCTTGTATTGGTGGGGGCAGGGGCTTTCCAAGGTCTGAAGCTATCAACATGGAAGCTGAACATTATGCTGACCTAGGGCAGTGAATGGTGGGGTTCAGAAAAATGGACGGAACAGAGGAACGGGGGATAAGAACGCGTAGTGGTGAGTGAACAGGGACGGGTTTTGGACTGAACTCGGCTGGGAAGTGAGTGATCTTTTGAGGTACATTCCCTGGGAATTTGCCAGCCCTTTTATAGGCAACGGAAGCTCTAGACAACGCTAGCCCTTGAAATCTGGTAAGACACCAAGCCCGCCGTGCTGAAATTCTTGCTCCCCGGTTGAGGGCCGTGCCCATGCAACGCAAGAACAGCCACACTCGATGAAGGCTCTACTACGTGCGTTTGATTTCATCCCGTCCCGGTTGCGCGATTGCATGTCAACTTTCGTCCAAGACAGCATCATCACCCACCCCCCCTCCCCCAACACCGGCTGACTACCTCCACTTTCTCCTCCAAGGTCAGCTGCCTCATTCAGAGTATGAAGGCCAATGGCGATCCTTCACGGTTGTTCATTCCCGGTCTAGGCCAATCCATGCATCTTCCAAGCACGCTACCTGATCGGGCTGTGCCTCGCATCTCGAGACGAGGCAGGGTGAGGATAGGAATGCGTGATTTTCGCCATTGGTCGCCCATGGCCGGACTGTGCCTCGCGTTCTGAAGCAATTTCGGGCAAAGTAGTGCGGGGTTTTCGCTATTGGTCGCCCGCGCCAGCTGAGGCAGGTAAGTGTCGTACTGTCACAGTCACATCGGCGAAGGGCGGTCGAGCCCACGGCCAGTAGAGAATCGACGCAAGTTTCAGGCACATCAGCATGATATCTGCGCAGCACGCCAAGTGGGTCGTTTCCTTGAACACGGAGACCCGAGCTGAGCCGGGGATAGCGAGATGAAATGAAAACAGAGGATTGGGAGGGCATTCAGACGGCCATACTGAGAGAACCAGAGCGGTCTTGGATAGCGATTCGAAGACTGACCTCAGCGACGAAGATAGTAAGTCGACCGGTGAGCGTCCCATGTAGGTAGGAAGGTAACGAACGGATCAATCATAACGACGTAGGGGGGGATCGAGATCCCGGCCAAGGCTCACACAAATCCATGTCGGCTGGAAATTCGCCCGGTGGGGGCACTGCCAGAGAAACAGCGCCGGATCGCACGGCACGACCCAAGGGGGCTGTGCGTCGGGCGAACGGGATGGGCGAGGAGGCGACGGGAGACAGGGGGCAACGACGACGGAGGGGGAAGGGGAGAGGGAAAGAAGGGAAGAGGAAGTGCGTTGTCGGTCGACGGACGCACCTGGGTCTTATATAGACCGTCGCGAACGGGTTGTCGTCAGTAAAAGCGGCGGGCGGCAGCGCGGCAAGGCACTATACCCAACCGGGCAGGCACCTTTCTCGATTGGGTAGGGACCGGCCCCGGGGTGGCAGGCGGTGGCGGGCGGCAGGCGGGCGGTGCAATGGGAGCCGTTTCTGGCGCCCCGCTAACCGTGTCATCGAATACTATTTTTCTTAGTTTAATATAATTATATTTAAAAGTTTTAACCAAGAGTATATATACTCTAGAAAGAACTAGGCTATATCTTATATAAATATAATCTTTATATATAATATTAAAATAATTTACTTACTTAATTAGTCTACTATAATAAATATAATATTAAAACTATAATAATTTTTTAGAAATATTTAAAAATTTATTAATAAATACTATCCCAGGCAGTTTAAAATTAGTAAAAATTATAGAAATCTTAAAAAAAAATCTTATTTTATATTTTTTTATTTACAGATTAAACAGTTATTTAAATAATAATATATATCTTAATTTTAAATATTTTAGTAGTATTAGTATTTTATAAGACTCAGTATCTTTATTTAGTCTAGATAAGTAAATAATAGTTAATAATAAATTTTATTTAATAATTAAATATATAAATCTTTATCATCCAGAACTACTAATAAATTATTAAAAAATAAAAGTCTATTTTTTAAGATATATTTTCTTTTACTATAACAGGCTTTTTCCTAGTAAAACTCTAGAAAAGAGTAATTCTAATTAACTATTAAAAACTAATCTATAATCTATAAATATTCCTATATAGAAATAAAGACTATTAATAATTTAAAAATTAATAAATAAAGATATACTCTATTCTTTAAGTACTTTAGAAGTAATAGAATTTACTTATAATATTATATTAAGATTTATTTATTATTATTTTTATAGATTAGTGTATCTACTAAAGCATTATATTTTTTAAAATAAAATTAGATTAAGAAATAATATTAAAAAAAAAATTTAACCTACTATATTTAATAGGTATTTAGTCTTTTAATAATCATGAAATACTCTAAGACTTAATAATCAATTAGAATATTAAAATAATCTATATATTAGAATCTTTCTAGCTCTAATTATTATTTTTTTAAGATATAAATAATTACCAGTAATTTTTTATTATAAATATTATAATTATATTCTATAGAAAATATAATCTTAAAATAATAGATTACTAGATACTAGGCTCTATCTACTAATTATAAGAATATTCTTATAATAACTTTATTAGCAGTATCTATTTTAATATAAATAAGAAGCGTGGAATTATAATAAATTAAAATAAAAATTAAGATTAATATTTTCTTAAGTATTTTGAAAATTTAATATAAATATAATCCTAGTTAAAGATAATATCTTTTTAGGTTAGTTATATCAGGGATCATACTATTTTATTATAAATTTTAATAAATTTTTAATAGAAATTATAAAAATTTAAAAATAATTAAATTCCCTATACAGTTATTAAGATTATCTATTTAGTAATAATAATAATCTTTATTAGATTTATCTAGATACTATTAGTAGTAATAATAAATCTTAAAAACTTAATTTTTATAATATAAAACTTATATTTATAAATAATAATCTATAAGCTTATAGCTCACAATTTCTCAAATATTAAATATATATATAATTTATATTCAACCACGTTATTACTATAAATTAATATATTATTAATATAAGTTGTTATAAACTTATTTAAATATTCTATTAAAACTTTATTAATAAACTATTAGAAGGCAGTGGGTCTATTAATAAATCTAAATAAAAAAATTTAATATTTAAATAAGCTGTATTATATTTTAAAAATTATAAGATTTTTTAAAATAAGATCTATTCTAATCTAGTAGAAGTTTTAATATATATTAAATTTAATAAAGATTTTTATATTATATAAATAATTTATTATTTTATTAATAAGAAATAAAAGATACAGGTCCTTTTTAATTAAAATATTTAATTTTTAATAATTTATATAAAAGTAGAGGCCTCCTCCAGACTTTCAAGCTATTAAAATAGAAAATATAAAAAATATAGAATTTAATATAATAAATCTTTTATTTAAATTTTTTATAATATAATTATAGAAGGCTTGTAGCTCTTCTATTATTATTTTATAAAAAAAAATAGTATCTAGAGAGTTCTCACTCTTTAACTAAATCTTATAATCATAATATTAAGATAGAGATAGTATATTAGATTCTTTTTTTAAAAAAATATCCACTAAATCATAATATTATTTAGAAAAGATTTTTTTAATTTTATTTTTTTTATTTATATATAAAACCTCTAGTTTCTTTACAAAAATCTTTTTAATAGTATTAAATAAAGTAATAAAAATCTCTATCTTTAAATTCTTTAAATATTATTAGAAGCTGACTGCTTTAATAAAAGCTATTTTTCTATAAAAAAAATCTAATTAGAGTAAATTTTAATTTAAGCTTTAAAATTCTAGGAGAAAGATAATACTAGTAATTTTCTTTAATTAAATTATATTTTATTTTTATTAAAGCCTCACATGGGCTACTTTAATTAATATAAGAAAGAATTAATAATAATTATAAAGACTTTAGTTATTTATTTTCTAACTATATTTTATAATCTTTTTAGGCTGTATCTTATTAATATTTATAATTTATTAAAGACCGCTCTAGAATAGTCTAGGAAATATTTATAAAAAGTCTAACTTTTATCTTATTTTTTAGTATTAATTAGCTTAGCTAAATTAGTTAATAATTCTAATAATCTAATAAGATATTATATTTAATAAATTATATTTTTTTAAAAATAATATTATGCCTTCCCAGGTCCAGTATAAAGAAAAAAATATTTAAAAATTAATAACTATTAATTATAAAATTTAATTAAATTATATATATTAAATTAATAGTCTATTTTCTATTAAAGTCTGTGATAGGGGTTGTCTTTTTTAAAGATAATATTAGAATTTTAAAATATTAGATTAATTTAATAGTAAATTAAGTATCTATTACTAAATAAGTATTAACTCTAGAATTAGTAAGTATATAAATAAAAATAATAATATTATTTTTAAAAAATAGAGTAATAATTATAAAATTATTATTATTATTTTTTAATAAATTTTATAAATTTATTATACTTATTTAAGCTTCCAGCTCACTTAGAATAAAGATTTTTTTAAATATTATCTTTTATTAACTTAGATTTTTCTGTGGGGGTTTCTAGAATCTTTACTTATATAATCTTTTTTTAAAATATTTTTTATTTTTATAGCTGGGCTTTTTATAGTAGAAATATTTTTTATTTTTTATTAAGATTTTTCTAGTCTCCAGCTCTATACTTGAAGTATAAGTTAAAGTTTTAAAAATAATATTCTCAGAGTTTAAGATATTAGAGAGAATATAAAAATTATAAGATTTATTATAATTACTAGCAGTAATAGTATTACTCTTAATATAATTTTTTATTAAATTTTTAATTAAATCTGTAGAATTCATATATTTTTTTATATAATTATTAAAGAAGTAATACTTGTTATTAAAACTATATATAATAAATTTTTTTAGTTTAAAAAATAGTTTACTATATAAATTCTTTTTTTAAAAATTTTTATTAATTCTAGCTTCCACCGCGAGATAATAAAAAATTAAAATAAAAATATAAAATTTCTTTTTAATTTTTATATATAAATTCTAGTACTGGCAGCGGGCGTTATAAATCTTATAAAAATTAATAAAAATAATTTCTAAATATTCTAATATATTCTTAATATCATTATAAGGATTAATTATACTTAAATAAAATCTAAATATTAAATATTTTTTTGTATTATTCTCACAATGATTAATAATATAAATTTTATATATTACTAAAGTAGTGAATTAATTAGTATTAGTTTTTAGTTTCTAATATATAGCTAGTATCTAGTTTTTAAAAAAAATATTCTTTCTATTACTGAATAGAGATAAATTAGAAATTTTTATTATTTTTTTAGATTTAAAAACAATTACACTTTAAAAATTAATTAAGATTTAATAAGTAGCCTATACTATGAAAATATCTTATTCTTTAATAATATTATTCTATTTTTTAGTAATATTATTTTATTCCTAAATAAAAGTAGTTATCTTCTAGTTCTATTAGTTTTATTTATTAAGGAAATTATCTTTTTCAGCCTTTAAAATATTAAAAATCTTTAAAAAAATTTTAAAAGTCCGCTTCAGATCTTTCTTATATTAGTTATTAAATTTAGTTTAATTAAACCCATCTTCCCAGTCTGGTTTATTAGATAGTATTATAGAAAGTTATTAGTTATCTTTAGAACTAAAAGTCTAGATATTTTTTTTAATTATTTTATTCGTTCATTCAGTCAGTTAGTTAGGTAGGTTTTTTAATTATTAAGTATTACTAAGAACACAGGATAAAGACTACTAATAACTTAGCAGGAACTAACTATATATAATAGTAAAAAAAGAATGAAGAATAATACTTAAAATTATAAAACAGCTATTTAATATAATAAAATAAAGTCGTATTAGTACTAACTACTCTAGAACTTTAAATATAAGAAGGAAAAAAGAAAAATAAGAAGTATTATAAATACTTACTTAAAAAAATAATAGTAAAGTAAATGAAACAAATATGGTCATATAACCCTGAACAAGGCCCTGAACAAGGCCCTGAACGAGGCCCTGAACGAGGCTGCCATCACATAGTCTCTCTATATAGATATAAATTATATTATTATTACTAATGGAATTTTACACATTTGGTAGCTAATTCCTTATCTAATTAATAAACTTTCTATCTTAATAAGTAAATCTTATTATATTCTAATCCTTGCTTTTCAGGTAATATACTGGAATAGCTATAATAATTATAAGATTATTAGTAGTAGTTTAAGATCTCCTTATCTACTATAAGATAATATTTATTAGTATTAGACTACTGATTCTCCAAGGATTAGTCTTTCTATGTAGATATAGGCTACATTGTTATTACTAGTGGAATTCTATACATTTAGTAGCCAGTTCCTTACCTAGTCGACAGGCCTTCTACCCTGACAAGTAGATCCTATCACATTAATCTTATAGATTTTTAGAGATAGACTATATTTAATACACGCTAGTATTTTTATATAATCTTATTTTATATAAGCAGCTGGCGCGCTAGAATATTTATATATATATTAAGATTAAAAAGACTATTATTCTTATTTAACATAGTAAGTAGATTAGCTTTACTATTATTAAAAATACTTAATATTTTTTATATATAACTAGTATTATAAGTTATAAAATAATTTAGGATTTATATTTCTATAATACTTTAATATATTTATTATTTTTTAATCTTACTATTAATATTATTAAAAAAATAGTTTCTTTACTAATTTTAATCCATCTCACGTACTATTATATAATTTATATCTTTAAATAAAAGATTTATAACTCTATAAAGTATATTATTAATTTTAATATTAAGAAAAGTATCTTACTAATATTTTACAAGCCTTACTTCTATAAAAAGAATTAAATACTATCTATCTCTTATACTAAGTCTCGTGATCTTAATCTACATGTTAAAGATTTTATTTATATAGATATTTATAGACTACTACTTACACATAGCTAAATTAATATATACTATTTTATTATTTTTACTAACTATATTTTTTAATATTACTAAGTATTCCTGTTTAAGAAATATAGTAAGGTATATAATAAGTTTATTATTTTATAAAATTATCTTAAATACTAGCTAAATATCAATATTAAATATATTTATAATAATAATATATTTAAATACTAACCGCTTGTATCTTATTATTAAGAATAAGATATTATTTAGAATTTTATTTTATATTATTATTTAAATCTTAATTTTATTACTAAGATTAAAAACTATTATTTAGTTGAATCTTATATATTAGTTATAACAGATAACTAGTTATCTTATTTTCTATAGAATTATATTATTCTTGTAATTAATTATATATAGAATAAATTTATATATAGTACTATCAAAAAAACTCTTTATAAAATTCTATATAAAATATAATTAGATATTTTATAATGGAAGATTCTTAGCTATTATTACTAATATCTTATTTTTAAAAAAATTTATAATAAATTTAAAGATTACATGCAGGAAAACTACTTTATTAAATATTTTAAATTAGTTTATAAAATCTATAATATTTAAACTCATCAGATTATATACACCTGTAATATTATTTTTAATAAAAAATTTATTTTATAATTATTATTAATAATATTTATATATAATCTTAATTCCACACGCTATAGTAAAACTAATATAGAAGCTTTAGTTTAGAAAGATTCTTATTACTAGTTATTATTTAATATATTTTTTTAATATTAGTAATCTATTTTTATCTTTTTTTTTAATTATTTTATTATAGATAAGTAAGATAGTAGTAAGAAGCTAGACTAGTTACTAAAATATAAATAGACTAGTATATTTTTATTTTTATTTATATTTAATAATATTATTTATAATGCTACACCTGAACCAGCAATTATTAATAAAAATAATAAATCTAGAAATTATTTAGTTATTATAAATTCTTTAATTACTAGTATTTCTTATATAAAATTATTACTAGTAATTAAATAATTTTTATATTATTTTATATATATTTATAAATCTTTACACGCCCTTCTTGAGTCCTTAAAATTATATACTATTAGTATAAATAATAACTTAGATATATATACTAATATTTTTTATAAATTATTTATTAATAATTATTTTACTAGTGTCTTATTTCTAGAAATTATAGTTATATAATATCTTACTAGTTTATAGGCTAGAAGGATTACTTTTACTAAAGAACTAATATTTCAAGATACTAGCTATATTTTTATCTTATATACTAATACTATAGCCTATACTAAAGTATTTAAATAACATAAAATAATATATCATAAGATATAAAAATAGATTAAATAAGGCACCTTCTATATAGTTCTATATTTTTATAATATATATTTTTTTCTAATTAAATAAGTATTTAAAATTAAGTATAATAATATCTATAAGATCTATTTTATTATTAAAGGCTTCCGGTAGCGTGCTAATAAAGACTATTAAATTAAAGAAATATATATAGCTATAATTAAGAATATTAGTTTTAAGATTTTTATTATTCTAGTTATTAAATTTTATTAAATTTTATATTATTTTAATATTATTACAGTCTTTCTCAATACTAAACTATATAAATTAATATATATTAAGCTACTAGATAGTTTCTAAAAAAATAATATATATAATAAATTTTTTAAATTATTATATAATTTAAAATAAGTACTATGTAAGTAGTATAATATATTTCATAATTTTTTAATAATTAATAATTTTAAATATTTATATATAGATTACTCCATATTTATAAGAAAGAGTTTTTTTATATTTATTTATATTAATAATATTTTTTTACTCGTACTAGATAGTACTATAATTAATATCTTTAAAATATTACTTATTAAATTTATTAAATTTACTAATAATAACTCCTACATCTATTTCCTAGATATTGATATTATATAAGTAGATGAAAGTATTTATCTCTTATAAAAATTATATATATAAGATTATTTAAAGTATTTTAATTTTTCTATTTATAAGACTTTTTCTATATTATATAACTCTAAGAATCTCTTACTAAAGTATAATAGAATAATAAATTTTAATAATATTAAAATATTTTAGGAACGTAATGGCGCATTTATTTAGATTATAATTAATATATATTCTAATATTATATACGCAATAAATAAATTATTATTTTTTATAAGTAATCTCGCTAAATTATATTTTTAGATAATAAACCTTATTTAATATTATTTTATTAGTTTTCTTAATTACTATTCCTTCTACTATTAGGGCGGACTTAGTCTTATTAGTTTCTATAATATTAATTAGACTAATCCTTATTCTTTTAATATAATATTAATCTCTAGCTATGTATTCTAACTTACTAAAAAACCTATTTTATAGAATTTAAAAAAATAGATTATTATTATACTATTTTTAACTAAAAGTAAGTATATCGTGTAAGTAGTAATAACATAGAAATTAATCTAACTTTAATTATTATTTATTGAACTGGATATTTAGTGCTTTAAAATTATATCTATTTTAATAATTTATTTTATAGTTATTTATGTAGATAACTAGTCTGCTATTACTTTAATTAAAAATCCTAAGTTTTATATTTGGATAAAATACGTCTCTATTAAATAATATTTTATATATCGTGAAGTATATATAAAAAATATTAAATTTATTTATATTAATATAATTAAATAAATAGTTAACGGTCTTACTAAGCTATTTAAATATTTTATTTACTCCTACTTTATCAAGTAACTCAGCATGGTGGATTATATTTAAAATTATATCTAATATTTCTATATCTATATATTTTTTACTTTCTATTTAAAAAATATAAATAACCTCATATCTTTCTTTTTTTATATATAACGTTGCTGACTACGTTCTCGCTCATAGGGAATATGAAAGGAGATCACATGATCTCGGACCTAGCCACCTAGTCACCTCCTCCTCGTGTAGTTAGCTAGGCAACACACACACAATATCATCAATATTGCTGTCACAGTCTGTAACTGTTTTCTACGAGCTTTAGAATCACGTATCCGAACAAAGTTGTCTTCAAACCATATAGCAGATTGTGTGTCTTTGTAAGGAACTAGTGCATAGTTAAAGTGCAATGTGGGGCGGATATGAGATGAACATTTATTGCCTTGCCCTTAGACTCGGTAGAAGTAAGCCTAATCAAGCTACCAAAATCAATTCCCATCGTCTCTTTTGACCCAGGGCCAAGGAGATGAGCAGGGACTTCGCCATGCCTTAGGCAGCAGTTCAGGCACCGCGGGGGATCAGAACAATGCCTTTGCCAAATTAGTCTAGAATCAAGCCACTCGTCACGTTCACAGCCCTGAGACTAAGGCATAAGGCTAAATCTAAGAATAAGTTCTGCGGTGGAGGCTGATTTGCTGCAAGGCTGGGGCTGCCGTGTCCCCACCTGATATTTAGGCAGGCACGAAACTAATGAATCGATGCCAACGGCCATCGAGACTTTTGCAGCCACCAATAAGAGCTGCACATGAGAACTGAGATGGCTGCCTATGAAGCTGATATCAATGAGACTGTGTTCTTGGACAGGATGGGATGCCTCAGGATCTGTGTGGTTGTGGAGCATGACTGAGAGAGCTGATTGGCTGGCAATTCCGGGCGGTCTCGGCCACTGGCCATCCTTTCGCTTTTTTGGTCTTTCTGCTCTTTCTTTGCCAATGACTACTTCTCTTCAGATTGCCGCTTCTTATAGAGATTGCTATTTGGGTGCAGCTTGTCCAAGGTCGCTCAGTATCTGTTAGTATGAGACGGAGCATGCGAACCAACACGTCTGTCCGAGGACGTCGGTCCCACCAAAAGTCCCGACATGGTTGCCAGCAATGCAAGTTGCGCAAGGTCAAGGTATGCATCGCTCAACCTGACAGCGATACTCTGTGCAGTGCTGCCTGCAATGACTGTTGGCTGATTCTCCTAGTGTGGTGAAGAGAAGCCAAATTGTGCCAATTGCACAAGGCACGGAGTGGATTGCTCCTATGCCCATGCAGCCCGGATAGAAGGCTCCAGTTCATCCTCATGTGTTCAGCCGACATCCCCGGGCGATGCCAGCACCATGCTTTCTGGCTCCCCTGGCAGTGACGGCCACTCGCAGGCAGCCACAGCAGCAGCGACAGACCTTGCCATCGCGGACTTGGAGCTGCTTCACCATTTCACCACCTCGACCGCGTACACCTTCTCGCGCCACCCTATCCTGCAGTCCTTCTGGCGCGTCGAGGTTCCCCAGATCGGGTTCACCGCGCCATACACGCTACGGGCAATTCTGGCTCTCTCCGCTCTGCATCTGGCTCACCTCCGTCCGGACCAGTCGCCGTCGTACATTGCTCAGGCAACCATTCACCACGACGCTGCACTGAAACTCGCTACGCCTGAGATGGCCAACATCACCCCGGACAATTCGGCACCATTGTTCCTATTCTCCGCCCTGTCAACCTTCATCTGGTGCGCGAAGCCGCTCAAACCGGGCAATTTCCTGCTCTGGGAAAATCACGAGATTGCCAGTTGGCTCGTGCTCATCCGAGGCACCGGGACGATTCTCGATTTTGCCGACGAAGCACTGAAGAACGGACCATTGGCGTCGATGTTTAGCGCCCGGGCTCGCAATCGAATCGCCGAACCTGTTCCGCAACACCAAATCCTCGAGAACCTGCGATATTTGGTGATGGAGGATGTTCCGGAGCCACATATGGCTCAGGTCTACGGCTCCGTCATTGATGAAATGAACCGACCGTTTGTGATGTGCTTGGAGAGGAATCTGAGGCTTGAGACGGCGGATGTCTTCAGTTGGCTGTTGCGCGTACCTCATGAGTTTCTGCTATTGCTCAAAGACTATCAGCCGTTGGCTATGGTAATTTTTGGGTACTTCTGCGTGCTCCTGCATCAGCTGGAGTGGATGTGGTGCATGAAGGGTTGGAGCACTCATCTGCTCTCGCAGATATATAACAAGCTGAGTCCGGCCTATCGAGCGTGGATTCGGTGGCCAATTGAGCAGATTGGATTTCTTCCACCTAGATGATTTTCTCCTTGCTCGCACCATGTTGGATAGAGTCTCATCGGAGTGGGACCCTCTCATCGTGATCTTGAAACTACCAGTTGTGATGGTCCTGGGCAACAGACCTTCAGCCTGCCTGGATAGAAACAGGAAGCTCCATCTAATGATGCGATTCCAACATCTATTTATTGCAGCCTTGTTCGCTGGGCAAGCGCCTTGCCAGTTCCAATGGCATCATGTGACTATCATGTGACCACGGAATCATGACCGCCTTCACCTATCTTCTTCCCTCTTCCTTTCTTCCCTCTCACCTGGCAGCAGCCATTCCATCGTCAATCCACTCTTCCATCCCGATTCCATCAGATAGATACCATTAGGGGCCGGCCCACATCTCAAGCTCCTGCTTCCCAAACATGGATGACCCTCAAGTCAACGATGAGGCTGTGTTTATCTCTCCGGCGTCTCACCCACTCGCAATCGGGGACGTAGACGAGGAGCCACAACCTCCCCAGGAAGTCTCCGCCGTGCTGTCTATTCTGACTGACGCCGGAATAAATTGCTGCTTTGTTCAAGAACTTTCGTTAATATATTATGGGACCACACGTTTACAACGCGTACGTGCTGACTCTTTGCCATGTGAGGAACGTGGGGAGTCGAGTGGAAATGGCATCTAACCACCATCCCAGGACCTAGTATTATGCATTCAGGATGAGCAATTTGAGCGTGCAGTGGAGCTTTTCACCTCTCATGGCGACATACTCCAGCCCTGTGGTGCAAATCCCCTTTCGTCGCCAAATTTGCTGAACCACAAGTATCCTCGATTCAAGGCTATCGGGTGGGCTACTTTCTGGCTACTCGTACCGGGAACTTACTGCCACCTCAATGTTGAGCCAGAGAGCATTGAATGGAGTCTAGGTTGGTCACTGGGTGAACATCCTCCCTATTGAAGAAAAGAGCTCTAACCTCTCCAGGTGGCCTGCCATACCCCAAGCTTTCCGTGTACGTGCAAAGCGCGATTGACTCCAAAAGCCTGTTAGACTTGGAGGAGTTGATTGATGGGATGGATCTTTCAGAAGAGTGGGGTCACAAAACACTGGACCTGGAAGGCCATACTGATACCCAATGGCTGGAAGATCGCGTTAAGGCTTTTCGGGATGATGGGGTGGATGAAATGTTCATTTGGGTAGACCCCACTCCTGTTTCTCGGCGAGAGATCTGGACATTCTCCGTCCGAAACAAACAAAAGCGCTTGGGCTGGAAGTATCCACCGGAGATTTACTCGAGTCGGTATCGAAAACATGGATCCAAGGATCCACGGAGCGTTCAAAGACCTGGAGTGTAGGGAGCCACATTACGCAAAGTGAAAAAGCTCAGCCTTTATCAAGAAACAGTATCAAATAGTTGAATCAAGAGACACTACCCACAACAAGCACAATATTCAATCTTATCGCGACGGAAATCAAAAAGTACGGCAACAAGGCACGATAACAGGCACGATAACAGGTACGGTGAAAAGCACGGTGAAAAGCACGGTGAAAAGCACGGTGAAAAGCACGGTGAAAAGCACGGTGAAAAGCACGGTGAAAAGCACGGTGAAAAG